TAACTTCAATATTCAATGTCGTGATAGGGAAGTTGGTTTTCTCATCCGAATGATGCACCACATTATCTATATATCCATTCGAAGTTGTAAGCTAAAACATCCAGTAAAATTCCAGTGCAACGACCGTACTAGGTTCGGTCAATCCGTGGATAACCTTGGAGTGGAATCGATCCCGACCAAATCAGGTCACTGTTCGGTAGCGTGACTCTCAACGTCAGAGAATATCCGGCTCAGCAATGTTGTGGAATGTAGGTAGCTCGGGTGCGCTGTTTGGTTGTTGGTCTGTTCGCCGAGCTTGGCAGTTGGATTGCAAACGTTTCATCACCAATCGAGGTGACATCGTCAGTGCAGAGTTGACCCACTCAACCCTGACAAGCTCGGCGAACAGATCAATAACCAATATCCGGCCCAGCTAAGTGTTCGACTTGCGACACTAGTGTCCAGCACTAGGGTTACTCCGCAGCCAGATTTGCTGACTCATTGACTCGGCGTTTCGTCCACTCGTTTTTATGGGCAAAACACTGCCGAGGCAGTGTGATCACAAGAACCAAAGTTGGTGTGCACCTGCGTCCTAACTTTTTTCACTGCACCGGCAACTATATCGACCCATTTGTAGGGGTTCAAGCCACAGATACACGGACAGAAAAAAAGGTCTCCGCACCGCCGTGTATGCGATCGATTTTCCACCGAGCCTTCGGTGCCTCAGGCATGGATCGATCGTCTCGACTGCTTCCACGTCACGTATAGGATGACTTGACGGAGACCACTTACGTTGACCGAGGTTTCGACTGTGCAAGGAAACAACCACCGTCGCTACCATCCGAAATTACAGTAATCGCGAGGGCCACCCCGGGGAAGGAAATACTTCACAGTTCTTAAACAGATTATCTAGAATTTTGAGATTGTCGTCAGGACCTTCGAAAGTACTGGCCTTTCTTCGAAGACATCTCTTTAACAAGGATTACAGTACGGACTGTAGAGAAGTGTGGGCGCAACATATCAAAATCATCCAACCCGTGCCTCCTTATGACGTTTTCTTTATTGTTTCGTATTTAGTATGAACAGCTACACGGTATAAACCGACGCAACATTTGCAATAGATTTTGTTTTTAAAGACATGGCTCTCGATATGTGTCGTTAATTCCTTACCGTTTTTTTCCCCTGGTGCTAATGGTTTCCTTTCACGTTTCCGTCATTTTGTCTTCGAGACAGGGTTTGTTGCCTTGGTGAACGCATGGTGAACGAGGCCACTGGCTTTTTACCCATTAAGCCACATTTTGGTTCGAATACTTCCCGGGTTCGAATACTTTTCATTGCTTCAGTTTCTCCCTAACCTTCAAGACAAACATGCCGTAGCTAGTCAGATGAATCGATTGAACACGAAGCGATAAAAGCTATGCTCAAAAGGCGTTTCCAAACAGAAGTCAAAAGTACACGGCTGCAAATGTAAGCTCTGAGTAGAAAGCTCATTTTGTCCCGAAGGGTCTACTTTCATTTTTGGAGAGGAAATCTAAACTAATTTGTTTGCAAACAGGTACTTTCGATTGAATCGGAATAGCTGGACAGATACAGAACTCTTGCGAAATTCGCAAAAAAACGTTTTAGTTACCATAGTTATGATAACTGCTGTGAAACGAAGCGATTGAAGCAAGTACTTCGATGAACCCGGTAGGGAGGGGTTTGCTTAACGATAATGAGGTAGGTCGCTTCGAGCGTATTTGTGGAGATGGGCGGCGCACGGTAAATTGTAGAGGGTTTTTCTGAACTAGTCGAAGCATTGTGCCGAACATTCCGTACATCCAGGGACTTACTGACCTGGGCATCTACCATCATACATCATTCGGACAGATCGAACCAAACAAATGTTTTGACCTTACTAGGATACAAGGTTGTTTCTGTGTGCATGTTCTCAGATGATTTCACCTCGAATTTACTCAGCAAGCCCACACATATTCTACTTGTTCCAGTTCACCTTGTGTCTGGTTAGCTCTGAATTCCGACTGAGGTCGACGGCCTGGCTGGTGAAAACACAGCATGTTGTAAGCAGAGTCTGATTGTGTTTGGACAACACTATGATTCGGTTTGGTGTCACAACGAGGAGAGATTTAGTTGTATTTGTCATTTACCTGCAGCCATACCGCCTGTCACGTCCCAGTTTCTGCAAGCCAGAAGGCAAATAAATGCTCATTTGGTTAGAGGAAACTACTCGGAAGTTTTCCGAAAAATATTCTGTAGATTTCTCAGGAAGATATACTGCGATATTTCGAACATCATACAAACTGAAACATGAAGGACTTTTGTACAGTATATTTCGTTTAAGAATACCATAAACCATAGACTTAGCTGGGATTCGGCTGAGTCCCCGTTGGTATTTAAATGAGTGTAGTTCGCGAATGTTCACTCAGCATTGGCAATGTTGACCTAGGAGGATGTTAAGAAACAACAACCCCACTTTAGCGAATATACACTCATTTGCAAACTAGTTTGGTGTTTCGATAGACTCACCTGGATCTGAATCTCTCGTTTGTGATGTTCTCAGGCAACTGAATGTGCTGCACCAGGCCGTCTTATGTTTCAGCCGCTACGATATTCAAGATATCGCGATACATTTATATATTTGTAATGCATTACTCACAAGGTTGCTCAAAATCCGCCGACAGCCCATGGTCGGTTCCGCCCTTGTTGGGGCTCATCAAGTAGGCGCAGTCCCCGAGTTTCCCTCAACCTTGTGCTCTACTTAAGCCCCAAAAAGGGTGAAACCGGTCGTGGGCTGTCGACGGATTTTCAGCAACCTTATGAGTAGTACATTACAAAGAACAAACCGACTTGTTTATTAAGAATCCCGAACCATATGCTGATGTCTGTCCGGATGGGAAATCACGGATTTTTTTCATGTTTGACTACTGTGAAAGGGTTGAGAGTCTGGTGACTCCTTACGCTCACTAGCTCCGATTCAGAGACCCACAGTGTCAGCCAGATAATACAGTTAAAATTTATACCACCGATGTTCCCAAGGCTACTTGAATGTATATCTTATTATTTACTCTATTCGTCTGCAGACCTATCATGCCAGACGATTATTTTGTAGTTACGGTACTTCAAGTTCACCAAAATGTTCCCGTCGTGGCTCTAGCTGATCATTCAAACACAGATTACTGTGCAATCGCTCAGTGTACTCTCTAACCGAACCTGTTCCTTTTCAAAAACGAGCCTTTCTGTGCCATTATTGATTACTACAAACATTTCAAGACCAGAAGCCAAGACGCATGGGGATTTGAACCCGATTGGTGGGGACGTTAGTTTCCGATGCAGTCCACCGATACGAGGCAGAACATAATAAAATGATTATAATTCAGTTTGGCTAATTGATGGTTAATTCCTTGTGCAAGTGTTCATACTACCGATACTACTATTGACTGTCATAAAAGTTAGGTTTGTATCTATGCAAGTAGCATCGAACAAGTGCCAAGAAAAGGTATTCTAAGAGCTTAGGCATAGACAGCGCTAGATATGCTCACTAGTTCATTAGTGTATCAGGCCCCATCCAAGCAACCCACTCGCAGAGCTAATCAAGATAGCTATGGTCACTCGGGTAATCAAGATTGTAGTCTTCATGTTCACATTCTAATGCATCTTACTTTGCTTCTTGTTTGGCTACGAGATGAGCTGAAATGTGGCAATCCGAGTAGGCGCCCGAGGTGCATCATAACTCGGACCGGCACGATCGACCGAAGCAAATGATGGTTGCGTTTTTGTGCATCTCAAGTACCATATCCTAAAATTGAAGGTTTCTGGGCATGTCAAACTGACAGGAGAGTAGTCAAATGTAGGAAGTGATCAAATATGCACTCAACTCCTGCAAAATCATGGGAAATCTTTTTCAGTCCGATGTCTATGGTAAATGCCTTAGAAGAATGGTATAAATAGCCAGTCGTCGTACATCAAGCTTTTCATTTCGCACGTGTCCGCCCGCTAAACTGAAACCGTTCTGTTCACCATCATCTACAGGCTGAATTGCATGTACCTAACAGGCACCAGGCATGAGGAGAATAACAATCAGTCCTCTGATCGATGAAAAGAGTTTTTAGAGATAATCTCCGATACTGTTTTGTTTCGCGCACATAGTTTGTCAAGCATTTGAAGATACCCTGAAATTCGATCACCCTGAATCCTTTCACTAAACCGACATGGACAACCTTTAAATAACAGGAGTTCTTTTCGAGGACTAGTCTTGCTTCGGCTGTCATTATATACAGGAGTGCATCAATGTCCATTTGCCGCACACTGATGCGAAATGGTGGTGTCGATGTCTCCTTCTGAATGCTACTACAAGGCAATTTCCGTAAGCAATCACTAGTTCTCGCGAGAAACCGAAGGAGATAAGTGTCTCACCAGAATCGAGGTTTGTCATTCTTGATGGATATTTGTGTTCATCAAGCTGGCTTATGATCAGCTTCGTGACAGTCAGACTGATCATAGCTCTCTCTCTCTACGAAAAGAAACCGCTATTGTATGCCACTGATTTCATTTGGGTGCGTTGATGACTGTATCTCAGTTAATCTCGCATGGCCTATCAGGACTAATGGCATTGCCTCGAGTACAGTTGAACTGGTTCAGTTTATTTCGTGGCCGTTTGGCCCAGTTGTGAATCTGAGCCCTAAGTGGGAATATATTTTACTCGGAGAATCACTTGTTAAGATCAGCTTGCAGATCCTGTTCTCTGTCGTTGTCACAAGATGTCAGTGTTTATTGTGTAAATCTCGCGAATCATGACATGTTCCCTCCCCCTCTTACTCCGTTTGATCTGTGCCACACTGCATCCCAGTTCGACGGGGCACTCTGGCCGTGGCAAACTCATGACAATCAACTGTCCTGATAGGCTGAACCAATCATGCAGCATATTGCTCCTCGTGCGCTCATTGGCTGGCTTGGTCAGAAAGCCGATGTATATAAATGCTGGTCAACCGAACAGAAAATCCGTCTGATTCTTATTTCTCAATCTGCCTTCGACATACGTGTATCTTTGGTGGTCCCACACATGCTTATTCTATCTGACCGAAGTGGTAAGGATTATATTTCTGTAGTCGGTATGGACAAACTGTCTTTGAGTGCAAACTACGGTGACGAAACTGATACCTCCGGCTTTGCCAGCTGCTCAGCCAGCACATACACACATGCATCCGACTATACAACATCACCACATAATTCACCCGATTCTCATGAAGTCAGAGAGCTCAAGGCGACTGTCTATCGTCGCAGTTCGTCCGGACAAAAACTGGCCAAATTCATCAATGCCTTGACGCCATGCCGTGGACGCATGGCACGCCGCAGTCAATCTTTTGGAAGCGTGTATAGCCAAAAGTGGCAGGCAGGAGGCTGCGATCAACAAAGTCTGGTGAGTAAATACCAGGTCTGTCTTTATACATTGTCTGTTCAGCATTAAGCCCACACACCTACTGATACTCTCGACCCGGTGAGGGGAGCGCTATACTTGTGTGGTGTGCTCTCTCATTTGTAGCCGAATTCCGTTCGTGAACCCACGTAGCCCTAGTTCCAAGTGAAACGCTATAGTGTCTCTTATATTGGCTTTGTTTCTGGAGCTGTGGCGACCATTTTGAACGCGAAGGGTCTTATTTATTCACTCATTTTATTCACTGCTTATCATTTATTATTTATGTTTCTCGTCTCAACCGGTGTTCTGAAGAGTGTTCCACATTTGAACATTCAGTACAAACGTGCATGGCTGGCGACGTCAGTGGCCCTTAAAGTTTTCGCAGCACACTACAGAATAAAGAGTATTTATCAGAACATGGTGTTACTCTTGCTTAGCCACATCGATTCCGTTGTAGTTTTTTTCTGTTCTTTTTGTCGGTTTTGTCTTGTTCGCTGTCTTTGAACGTACAATGCTTTGACTGTCACTGCTGGAAGTCACAGGCGAGGAACTAGTCCAAGGATGGGCCAGAAAAGAACTTGGCAAAAAAAATTCTACTCTGCAGCTCACAAGAGATTGCCTGAAAGCCCCTCGAACACAGGCTGCGCTTTAACAAGCCCAAGTTACCGAGTTGTTTATGGTCAGCCTGTTACCGAGCCATAAATAGCGTCACCTGACACCCGGCAATTTACTTCAGTTACTGCTGGCGAGACTTCATTTGCACTCGTTTAACACACACCGATCAATCCGAGTCCCTTCATGGAGTGACATTGCTGTCGGTGGCGGTGGGCCGGACGACGGCCTGTCACAAATTGCCCACCGATCTTCTCCCCCGCCCCCCAAAGGATCACTCGCGTCGGTCAGAGACATCCATTTAGGACATCCATTTCATCCGACTGTAGTCACGCCTAGGTAACTGATTGCACCATCCGTGTATCAACCTGGCAACACCTGTCTGTGTGGTGTGTTGGATCAGGTAATGGATGTTCTTATAGTGAAGTTGTTTGACACTAAATTATAATTCAAGGTTGATTGGATGTAGACTTATTAGTGTTGCTAAGGCGGGCCTCATCCCGGTCGTACAATCTGGTTTTGTTGCACTTTTGTGCATTATCACTATGTCTTGAGCTCAAGCGCACCCGGCACTCTGTTTCTTGCTCTACAGTACCATCTCTTCACTGCACTGGAGACAAATTCCAGTGTACTGAGGTTGGAGACTAATTTCGTATCAATTTACTGTGTCTATTTAGACCGACAGAATTGTTTCCGAGGGAGAACTGCAAAAAAGCGGGTTATGGAGGCTGAAGGAACGTGGTTCACATTTTCACTGATATGACCTCACGCAAGCCAGTGTTTACCCTTGAATTACTATAATGAGCTGCGTCGACTACGGTCGAAAGTGTATTTAGACCGAACATAACAATAATTTGTGGTTATTGCGTAGTGAATGGGGGATTACACTTCGTCTGATTTCGTTAAGGACACATCCAAATTGACAGGAAGTCTCTTTGTGGAAACATTTGGCACCAAACTTCAACGCAGTTTGAGATAACTTCGGAAAATGGCGTTTTTGCCGGACTGTAACCATCACAACCTACCTCAACGCTGAAAAACTGTTCGTTTGACGTTTTGACGCCTAGGTGACGTGGTAACGTGACTCCACACTGGGAACACCAGAGCAACAGCGTAGTGACGAGTCACTCGGTGGTCACGCACCGTGTGTCTGATTTGTCTTGCTATTCCTGACGAGATACTCAAACTCAGTGATTCGGACTGCGTGAAAATGAGCGAAGCGTTAGAAACTTGGATTTGTACAAATAGCGCAAGTGACGCAAGAAAACAGCCAGGTATTGTTTGGGCCAGGTAACCCCAGGAGGTGTGTGTTCCACTAGGAAATCGGAGACACACAATAACACCAACCTTCATTTGGTCAAATCGATATTACCCGCGTGATGTATGTCCAAACACCTACGCTCCAATCACGCTATAGTTGAAGTTTCACGTGACGTAAACGAAAAATAACGTGAATCCATTCTTCAGTCAGCAGTATACAACTCACTAAACAAAAACAGATTCTGTAGAAAAAACAATGGATGTTTGTACCGCTTAACACATGATTCGCTGACCATCATTTTTGTGAGTGCTTTGATGTGTTCATCAGATGTCATGTAATCTGAGGTGAAAAAGTGAAATGATTGTCTTACGTTAGATGTTTACCGACGATCACTTTTGTGGGTTGAACACACGCACTGCTGTGACCAGACACATAAACCGAGATTGACCTTTGCAAACGTGGGTGAGTCTGGCAAGTGCAACCGACCGTATCTTATCACTCAAACCTGCAATCAGTTGCGTAATCTGACGGACGGACTGATAATTACCGGTTACAATAGGACACCGACTAACGACAAAAGTAGTACCCACACTGCTCCACAGTGTTACGTTTTGAAGATAGTGTACTTTCAAAAGAAGGGGAGCTCTTTTAATGGAGGAAAAACACCTTCATCGATCAGCTTTTACTCAGTGTCTGAATAATACACATATTCGCGGGTTTCTTCGTCCTCAGAAATTTTTCTCATACCATCTCCTGGTAGTAAAGCTTATAGAACTAAAAAAGGCATGAATATTCCTGATGGTGATCGACACCACCAGTTGGCTACAAACGGCTGACAGGCAGTGCCACTGACTTGGGCACATACGGCTCAACTCTGCAGCTGAATCGCTGCTTGAATGACCACCTCTCAGAATCTTCCCATCGACTGCCACTCTTAGTCAGCAAGGTCTGTCCAGTTTGCATACACAAGACCTCATTCTACTCAAGCGTACTACAGTGGTTTTCTATGCGAAAAAAGCCCGGTCTAGGTGGGTGTTTTTACCCCCGTTCGGGGTCACCTGCCATCTTAGCTGCCATTTCGTATTGACCTGATGGTCACATCACTGCCCAGAACACCCGTACGAATAGTTAGTTTGAGTTCAACATATTCAGCATTTTCTTGAACACTGGTCCCCAAAGGCGACCTGACCGAAACAGGAGCTAGTACTCAACTGAATTTTCGGTCTATTAGCAATACACGGACTACATGTTGCTGCGTTTCTATTTCATATCTCTAGGATATCAGCTCGACCCAGGGCTTCTTAACTGGCCAAGGCTATTCCAAGAGCAGCTGAGATCTGTTTGTGTAGCATACGGGAACTTTGCGCATTTCTTTGTTCCGCTGACTCCACCTGTATGTCCTCAACAAATCGGGGAGAAAACATTTTGACTACACTTCAGACGTTGTCATCTCCGCACATGTGTCGTCTTTGTGTATGCTCGTTTTGCCGTGGTGAGTAAATGTTTTTTTCCCTTCGTGCTGGTACCTTCATTTCCCAAACAAATGTGTTTGTCCATCATTCGGTTCACATGCATTCTCCTGAGAAAAAACCGCATATGTTCACGGAATCGCTGAGAGTATCCACCATCAACACAAACTTGTCATTATCTGTCCCTTAGGTCACGTGTCAGGTCGTGTTGATTGTCTCGTCAAGGCGGATAGGGATGTGTTGAAAGCGAAACAGGGGTGGGCTTATTTTTAGCGTGTTATCCTTATGGAATCAGACAAGAATGATCAGAGTAAAGTGAACAAAGGGGTGACAGGTGCAAATATTACCTTCAACCTTGGGAATGCCACTAAGTGGACCGAAGTTCTACGTGTATCTTTTACAATCTTTGACTGGTCTATCTTATTTCTGATCTCAGGTATTCCGTGTAGTGGGGGACCTGAACCCGCGACAGAATATTAATCCAATGGAACCCGCAGAACAGGTTGGTTATCAGAAACCTGCCAGTTTAACAGCCAGTTCCTGGGCAGTCCAGTTAGACGTGTCAATCACTGATCCAACCGTGGAGGTCCATGAATTCCGACGTCTCTTCCCGTCTTCATTCCTCGCCTTGATCACAAACTACTTGGGGTTTCTTATTTTCACTCCTGAGGACATGGAGCAAATTCGAGATGCATTGCTCAAGGAGTCCAAAACCACCCAAGCACCAGAGTCCCTGCCGACGAACCTCACTTCAAGCGTCCCGAGTTTTGGTCGCTCCTTCACCCCACAGAAAAGCGTGCGTTCCAGGGAAGCGAAATGTGCAGGTAGGTTACCGACCCTCACGGTCTTACTAACTTGAAACAGTATAATCTTTCTGAAGAAGACATGTGGTTGAAAGCGGAACATAAGGTTGACGGACCCGGGGACTGCGCCCACCTGATGAGCCCAAAACAGAAGGGCGAAACCGGTCGTGGGCTGTCGACAGATTTTCAGCAACCTTATGAGTAGTACATTACGGAATCACCCTCTTTTCAGAGGGATTTGTCATGAGCTATTCCATATACTTTGTTCATAGTCTCGCCACTTGCTCGAACGGCCGTCCGCCTGTTCTGGCCTAATTATTCCAGTGAGTCCACCCAAAGGGAAGCACTAGACTCGAATTTTGCTCTTGTTAGAGCTCATCAGCAGTGCATATCCGTGCGAGGATCTGAACCCCGGTTGTCTGATATGCCATGCGAGCGTGTAACCACTACTCCACCAACGCACGTTGAACGCATCTGAATTTTTACGTCTGAACAGACGAACGTGTTCGCAATGGAACGATGTGATTGGTGTGCCCGACTCATTGAACGACGACCCAGTAGCTGTCCTGGCTGTGACGATCGACTGACCCGCCAGCCAGGACCTCCCACATATTTTGCTATTTCAATCCGTATATTCTATCCAGCTTGCATTCGTCTGGCTCATTCATATACATGGTGAAGCGATCCCAATACAGTTTCACATTTCTAACCGTCACCTAAACCTCTATCATCTTGCAGACAAAGAACTGGAACACTGGTACATTGTGGTCAATACGACAGTGAACTACCTGCTGGAAAAGAAACGCTGTGAGTTTGTCGCTTTTGAACAATCAACCTTACTTTTTCTATATGAAACATTGTTTCCAAGGTATGTTTACTTAAAGGTGTTTTATAATTTGTATTACTTTATAACAGATAAGCATCGCTTCATTGTTCGACGTCCGGGGAATCAATCGAGTGTTAATGAGTTGGAAAAAACACTGTTTCCGCCGCGTCACGACCNTGTCCGAAGTCGCTCCACGGACCAGACGGACGAAAAACTCCATAGCCCCGCCATGGTTCCAGAGATTCTGTCCATCCTTGAACGGTACGACGCTACCGTAGTGGCTTGTGTGCTATCCCGTATGTTGCGCCGCCATGGCGTCGGTCTGATTCCCGTCTATCTACGACGTCTCTTCCTTCAACTTGTGACTGGCGTTAAAGAAAACGCGGTTCATCAACGCCGTGCGATTCGCTTGCTTTTTCAGTTGGTACCCAAGCGTCTACTGCGTATGGTCATACGTCCGGTTTTCGAGCTTCTGGCCAGTATAGCCAATGAGCCGGCTTGTGAAGTGGATGAATCCAGTTTAGCAGTCCTATTCTCCCCGATTCTTTTCCTTGATCGATCCACGACCACTCCAGCCTCATTGGCTAATCCGCTTCCAGCCCGTGTGGTCGAGCTGCTCGTTCGAACTGCTCGTCTTGATTTGCAGATGCATCAGTCGCTGGATCGTACATTCCAGGTCCCTGTACTTTTCCAAGATGATTGCGTACGAAACCTTACCCAACATTTGGTGAGTCTAATTCTAACTGCGTTTGACTCTTTTAAGTGCTCATCGTCGAGAGCTATTGATTGTGCTGAAGATTTAAAACTGGAATTGGCAGTTTAGAGACTACTTATTCGTCTGAACTTCAACATCTAGGACAAATAGAATCCATATATCGCGATGTGTACATGTTTTGTCTCTCTTTGACTAGAAGTCATAAAACGTGTCGTTTACATAAGTGAAGGATGTTCAATGGGGTCGGAACAATTCCTGTATCAGTTCTGTTAGTCAGGCAACTCACGGTCACAGTTCATCTACAGGGATGCCGTTCTTCCAGCATCCATGACATTTGAATTCACTTGTGGAGCGTTATGGTAGTCGCTTCTGCTCTGCGCTGATCCCAAACCCGTACCTTTAATTTACTTACTGACTTGGCCACGTGATACGTATGCTAGTCGACCGACTTCCTCGGAAGGCTCTTCGCACAACCACCTGAAGGGTGGAAGAGAGCGAGAGGCGGTCAAACGATGACTTGGCGGCGAAGTATAAAAGCCATTACCAGCAAACTCAGCTGCGCTGGTCATTGCCGTCTTCCTGGATGGGGACCCTGAGACCGGCCATATCAATGGTTAGAGAAACTGTCAGACATGGCCCAGTTGCGCCCTCAATGGCGCTCGTCCATCCAAGCTATTGCCTTCAAAGCATAGCTCCTTTCCCAATCCCCCCACAGTGCAGTTCACCTACAGTGCTGAATTTACACACTAATTTATCAGCTCCTGCCTCCAATGTGCAGCTACCTACTCCGGCTCCCCGAATCATCGGTGAACGAAACTGTGTCAGCTGTACGACAAGTACGCGGCTATTACAGCTGACTATGATGATGATGATGACTACCTTCTATCAGCCGAGCTTCATGGAGATTTCTTGAGTAGGGTATGTCACAATGGTGGTGCCCATTCCACGAAAACGCGGTTTAACTGTAGCACCTTTTTGGTGCCCAGCTGCCATGCCACCGAAAGGAAACACGAGGGCCGAGATACGGCCAGTTCTCTCCAGCATAGACAGGGGCAATCCGGATGTAGAACTCTTACTCAAACCTAGTCAGGAATTTCGTGCCAGACCACTTAATCATTTCGAGCTCACCCGTCACTTGAACGAACAACGCGTTAATTATCATCGTCATTGGACTCGGTTCTGACACATTTTCCACTCAGTAGCAGTGGTTTTAAGAGATACCCCTCCGAAATGAGACCTACACTGATGAATCCCTCCCTTTGAGATTCAGACTGTAGAACTTGGTGCCGATGATAATGATGAAGGCGGACAATATGACGAGTTTTCAATAAATCTGTTTGTGTTTTACTCATACACATTAGTCGTCGAATTGGGTCAGCCTTGAGTGACACAGTCTTGAATCCACCACAGTCAAGTGGAAGTAACATTGTTGCTCGTATGGGTAGTGTGTTTGTATGTGTGTGTGTGTGTGATGGCGCCAGACCGCATTTTGTTATGCGCTAAGCACAAGTGTGTGTTTCCATTTCCGTGTTTCAGGCACTGGAGAACCCACCACTGTCCTGCAGTTTGAAGTATTGCGTTAGTATGAGTCCACGATCACGAGATAAACACACAGCCCAAAGCGATTCGAATGCGGATCCATCTGGGGCCCAGAAAACTGTCAGACCAATCATGCCCAAAGTGAGTTCCTGTTATGACCTTGTCTACTGTCAGCTGATCGAAAATTCGACCAATCGTGTGATTACATGTTGATCAACCGTGTCAGGAACCGTTGTCGAGCAGAGTCGGTTGAATGACATGAATAGTGTAAGCTGAGGTCGAAGCAAAGCGTTTCTGAGATGAGTTGTACAGACACCTGAGTACAATCAGACCCACAGATGGCAAGTGCAGTTATTCTTCCCTTGGTCGAAAGTTCGCATAATATTTTTCCGATAAACTTTGCTTCCGAATGTGTCCTATTACTGATCACGGAATGTTCCATTCCTGTTTTCAGGTCAATCTCACTTCGAATTTCATGGCCAAACGCCCTCGACATGTTTCACCTTTTGTTTCGAGTGGGTACGCCACTCCTGTTCTGAAGAACGTAAGTCGAGTTGATGCGTTTACCTACTGGTTTTTCGAATGTATGTGCCAAAATGATCGCGAAGGCAGGTCTTCTCATCCCTTTTACCATGAGGCGCTGCATGACTTTGTCGAAGTGTCGAGCTAAGACGATTCTTGTTGACGCTGCCAATGGCAGACGGTGAGCCATTGATTTATTGTGGTCGGTCACTCATCGATTCTTGGACATGGTTGGAATGGTGTCACAGAGAACGGATAATAGTGTGTCAAGAGTGAATCTTTCGGCCTAGGCAAACTTAGTGGTTTCCGCAATTCGTACGGTATTGTTACTGGTCACTGGTTACACTGCTCTCCACGACACGCCCACCTCTGACTTTTGACACAAACTTCAGTAATATTCAACTCCAGTAACTTACTGAGACTGTATCTTTGTTTTACTGTGTTAACAGTCTGGTATTAGCTGTATGTACGGCAGATATCGGCATTCTACCACGCAGCTTTGTTAATAGGTCTTTTTCCCTTTTTCCTCCGTGTAGCATCCAATCAGTCCAATACTCGATTTTCGTGTGCGGCGCACACCCACCACGTTCTCCCGAGCACAGCATTTGCACGCTCTCAAGTCCCCGCTACCCAGTCGGATCGAAACTACCATCAAGTAGTTCGCTTCCTTCCTTCTGGACCCCATTCTCCCATCATATGTGTACATAGCTTACAAAAACCAACCAACCAGAATTCCTATGATAATATCTCCCCTAGCCACCACTATCATTAGCCATTGCTATGAGCTCAAACTTCGAACCGGTCTCATTTAGTGCCTATTGTGATTCTGTTCCACTGACTTTTGCTTTTTAATAAAGAAACGAATTCCACTGCCACATGGCGCTTATTATTTCGAACAGGTGTACCTCATGTAGTGGAAATATAACGAATACCTCTATGCCAAGAGCACGAAAAAACCGTAAGGTCTAGGTCTCTCCTCGTGAGCAACATATCGTGGAAATCTGGAGGGGAATTTCTTCGAAAAGGGTATTTGTCTGGAGACATCCTATGCTCCCGTAGATCACCTACATGATCCCATACTTCATTCGAGGTTGTGGAGCATTTGACCATGACGGTCAATCAATCTTGAGTCTCTGCCTCTTTCACACAAATACACTGACGAGTTCGACTGTAATTAACCCGCCCCGATATAGTGGAACATTGTAGAAAAGTTCACTTCGGAATTATTCAACAAAATGTCTTGCAATTAAGGACATTACCTTGAGGGCTCATCGGTGAAATTCCCCTGGGAAGTTCCTTCCCCAGCCCCGTCGCATTGAGCTATTCGACGGCAGCACGACAGTTGTCGCGTGCATACAACCTGTAGTATCCCGGAGCAGCTCAAAAGGCGAGACTAGAGATGGTTGCAGCCATTAGTAGATGGAAACTTCATGTGTAATACCACTCTAAATAGATTATAATGATAAACTACGAAGTAGAGACCAGCAAGAATTTTATCGCTAGGCGGTATGTGTTATATCTGCTGATTCGCCGGCCTGTGGTATCTGCTGCTGACCCGCTCCAGTGCCTAGTGTCGGAGAGTAAAAGACTCACGGAAGGGAACACAATAGCTATATTCCAAAAAAGTGGATGCGATAGCCCAAGTGCTAAAAGTACAACGGCCTCAAGCTTTTTATTGGAAGGACACTGTCTGAACTTGGTCCAATTCTGACGCCCACGGTCTGGCTTTAGTACGAGGCAGCGACGTGCTGCATATTGCGGAGGCGTTGTCTGCCCTTGATCAACGCTGACTCGCGCTGTCTGGGTTTGATGCAAGGCTGTGACGCGCTGCATATTGAGGGGGCGTTGTCTGTCTGGTCAACATCTAGCGGAGCTGAGGGTCTCGGTAGATTTCGGGCATTCAGTGGTTGCTTTCAGGAAGCTGACCTTCCTGATAGTATGTCGTTGGAGTAAGAACCTGAGCAGATTACGGTGTTCGTGCACTAGCGAACTAAACACGATTTTGCTGGGAGCCCGACACCAGCTGTGGAAGAAACCAAGACTATCAGCATTCAACGCTTGGTAGAAAACAGTGTGAACAGCACCTTAAAGTCCAAATAGAAACGTGTCCATTCACGGCTGTTTGTCATATTTGCACTAGGTGACCTCAAAAAGCATGTGGAACATGTTAACTATTTGAGAAATCATGGCCTGTAGCATGTGGGAGCACCTAAGCACACCAAAATCAACTGATATTTTAAAACCATTAGGCATGATATGCGGGCTGGCCTGAGTGGACTCATGTGCTTTCCTGTCTGTCGTTCTTATGAGCTGCTACACTTCGTGTGAAATTTCAGTTCCGTATTGTCAATAGTGTTGATTTATTGGGCCAGCACAACTTCAAGGCTACTTGGACCGCATTAGTACGAGCAAATTACTGGTAAGTAGGTCGTCCTGTGTGATTGGCACTCAGTTCCTTTGTGACTTTCAAGGTTCGAAGTCAGCAGCAAGATGTTTTGGAATGTCGGTCTTTCCCCCTCATGAGTGGGACAAACTTGGTGTTTCTTATTTTTTTCACTCTTCGTTGGAAAGACATTCTGACAGTCTACTTTCGAGTCCCGATTTCGAGATAGCGTGAGACTGTCCCGAATGCGAACGGGTCATACTACTCTTTGACCCATTTCGCTTTCTGATTGTCGAATGTAATCCCTGAGGTCCGTGAAACATTGCAAATTTGAAAACAGGCTTCTGAAAGTCTGATCTAAATACCAGTAAGAGTTGGCACGTAAAAATTGTCGAAAAAAAAGGGAAATGAGCTATCACTAAACGTTCAGGGAAGGTAACAAATGGGATGGAGGTGTCTCTGCTTAAAGATAAAGGCTGACTGTTCTGTCGCCTGCACTGGCCTCCTCCCTTAAGTAACTCACTAGATGACCTTTGCTCCAATCCGAGTGTGAAGAGGGTCGGATATCGGACGTCCCAGTTTTTCAACTTCACTGTATTCGGCACGTCCGAACACAATGCGACGACACTGGCAATAAAGTCGATCGCCCACGCAAAATATACCCACACTGTGACTGGATTCGGGTCACGGTTTCGAGAGTTTTTAGGCGGCCACCTTGCTGAAGCGTCCCAGTCGTAGTTGCTATGCCGCGCAGAAAAACATGATGTGGAGGAGATCGATGTGCATAGTGAAGTTCCATCAACCTGGGATATTTTCGATCCCAGGTACACTATTATCACGATAAAACTGTTTTTTTTCCTGTACATTCTTTCGTCCCTAGAACACCGATTTCCCAAATATGCAGTCAATGCCGGGAAAGCGAAGTGTGTGAAACAATCACACACGTTGACACCAGCACGCGTGTGTTTGTTGCTGGGTCACTGATTGATCAGTAGATAACAATGCGAAGCTATCAGAACAGCCAGTGCGCCCCACAAGGACGAGATTTTCTAATGGAGTCAGTTCGGATGTGTAGGTGATTAGCGTTAGTCGACTGCTGTTTATCTTGGCTCCCTGTTGGCGCCCATACCCACACGTGCCGCTGATGACAAATCGCCACCTGTCACAGTCGCACACGCACAAAGCTTGGGCAAGTTACAACACATTATGCTTTTTGTCCAGCCTTATCGCCAAGGTGATAATGATCGTTGGCTTAGAGAACCTAAACCGGATACCGCCAGGTGTGCAGTTCAAGAATCGCTTCCCAACCTGCGACCCTGGTGACGAGGCCAAGTGCAATTAGCGAATGGTTTGCTGTGTGGTTGTTTGACTAAGTTTGCCGAACAACAAGGCTTCGTTTGGCGTATTTCCAGCTGGAGTGTGAAACTACAGGATTATTATCCGATCCCAAACATTAGGGGACAGTCCACATCACTGGGGGTGGCTAGAATGATTCTCTGACAGTAGTGGAGGGATTTCTAAGTCGCCCGCTAGGTTGTGGTTCTCATAAGCTGGGCGAAGTGGGGAGGGTTAGCACAGCTAGAAGCTCATCTGGTACTGGAGCGTAGGCGCCCGTTAATGATGATGAAAGCGAAAGCATTTCAAATAAGACATCAATGCCCCACACCTGTCATCATGTTACTTTTAGACAAACCGACGGTTTCGGCTGGTTGACACGAAGCTGCACTCCTAAGGTACATACCAAAATTCCGGGGAAGTGGATTTCACGTCAAGTTTTTGGGTTTGGAAGACTGTCCTACTTTTTTCCGCTCCCGCTGACCACCTCCACCTAGGCTCCAAAGCCAGCTAGTGGAGGTGGATACAAGGCCATGGAGTGGGGTTGTTCAGCTTAAAACCTCGATGTCCGGAACTACATGTAAAATGCTGACTCTGGTTGACGAATATGAAACAAGCTTCCGGCTGGACTCTTTGAAAACGTATAATTTCGTAAATTCCTGTTCTACTACCTAACGTCAGCACAACAACTAGGAGCTCACACTAGCGGATATCGATGCATGCGAGGATAGCCGAGCGATATGGAACTTACATGAGGAAGAATGTGAAAACTAAGGTTGTGAATGTTTGAGAGACTAAGGTGCGAACGCAGTGGGTAGAGTCAGGTCAACAAACAGGAAGCTACGTGAGGTTGTGCATAACGTGTCATATGTATGAGGACGGATTACCATTAAGGTTAGGATGGCGGAAACGTCCCATTTCCGTTTGTCAGCCCTACGAAGATAAGGTGGATATCAAAACGGTCTACTTCTGTAACCGTAGATCTGGTTAAATTCACCTAACGGTCTTCCCAACGAAAGAGACACCAGGCCTTTTCTGGAAGCGGACAATCTGAAACGAATCAAGCATTTCAATGCGATTCATGACAGGAGGTGTTCCTTGATGGGTGTCCTGGGCTGCTTGTTCTAAAAGCAATTTCGGCGAGTAGTTTGATGCTCGTGTCAACAATTCTTTCTGTTTTCTACCTACACACTCGCTTCTACATGTGCATGCAGCGTCAGGTAACCAGCATGAGTAGGCAATCTTTCACTAACAGAACTGTTGTGTTTGCTTCCATGAGAGAAACTACTTACAAGGTTGTTAGATACTCTTCGGTCAGCAACCCTGTAAGTAGTTTGCTTCATGAAAATACACAGCGATATCTCGAATATCGTACCAACCGAAAAGTGAGACGGCCTTTCAGCAGCAGATTCAGTTGAGTAACATCCAAGGAGACATTAAATTGGAATTCAAACGAGTCTACCGTCAACGCCGAATCGTTGTGCCAAGATTGTGTTTGGGGTATGGTCATTGGCCTGTTCGCCATAATCTCAGCCCTACATGCAATCGGTTGTGATGTCGAATTTTTGGTTCTCAAAACCGATGATCATCTCTTATCGGAGGATATGCATTCCTCAGTCCGCCAAGGTTGTTATTGGACTGGACTTCCTAAGGTCGCAGTCAGTGACTTGTGTTTGCTTGCCATTGTGGGCTCTCAGCGTACTTATGACACTTTTATGCGTGGCACATGGTGTTGAATGTACATGTTTGCCACTTAATCTCACACCAGACCCAGTATGACGGGCACTTTGTGCCTGATGTGCGAGTCTTGACTGTGCTAGCGCCTAACTCGCCTTGAAGAGGATTCACCATTGTTTGTCCTTTCTTCGGCTGTGGGTCTTTAGATACGTGTTTCCATATCAAAATCTTTATATACCTTGGGATTCATCTCATCAGACTGGAACTGTTCTTGGCATGATTTCGAATGAGACGTTTCTCTCTTTTCTCCCATATTTTCCCGTTACTCTTTCGTATTCATCGCTTGTATTTACTTTATATGTTTGTGACCATGCTATTCAAAAATAAATGATAGTACCATATTTGGGGTATATGTATTGTTTCCTCCTTGAAAGGGGGCGTTGCGCAACATACTGAAGATTTAGACTGATTTGTA